AAATTTAATTCCTGAAATGATACACACAGGCTCCTGCAGGAGCAACTGGGCTGGGTGGCTCCATTCACCAAGCAGAGGGCATGGCGGACGGGGGCTGGCTTCGGAGCGCGCACTGATTGCGATGGCCTTCCTGATAAGAACTTTCAGTAGTCACGGTAGACACCAAGGATGGGCGCTTCCGTTCCCAGCCCTGTGGGCCCATCCTCTGCCCTGCAAAGACCCCTAGATACGCTGCTCTCTAAGACTTTCAGCTCCTTGAGGGTAGGGACTTTATTCTTCCTTTAATTTGCTGGAACTTGCAAACAAACTTAGTATCTGTTGGATTAATGATCAAATGAGTGGACTTTGTTTTTCAAAAGCATCACCTAAATTTTTAACAGCCAACCAGGAACGATGGTGGATTCTTCCCAAAGGCTCGAGACGTTATAAACTTTATCCTCAGAACTTTACCAGGGAGGGTCTTTAGCCTTAGGGGAAGATGAGGCTCTGAGAAGCTCCCCACCCAGAGTCACCCAGCTAGGCAGCGGCAGGTGGGAGTCCCAGTTCTGTACCACTCCAGAGCCCTTGTGTGCTCGTCTCTTTTTTCTACCACCTGCCTTCCATGTAATGAAGTGATAATGAATTCACTTCCCCATTTTTGTTATTTATCAAAGCCACATGTAGCTGTCAATCAGAGCGTTTGTTCAGCAGGAAGAAAGAGGGTTCTCATGCTGGGTCCCAGTCACTCTGGCCCAAAGCAAGAGGATTGCTGCCAGCCTGACAGGCCCTGCAGCTCTGTGGGGGGTGAGTGGGGGCAGCCAGCAGCTACTGGGTGCAACCTCAGTGCCGGGCTAGACTACCACCGCCAGGGCTGTGGATGACGGTGACAGGAACTTACGAAGTACCTACTTTGTGCCAAGCACTGGGTTAAGCACCCATAGCAGCCCTGGGAGATGGGTGTTATTACTCTCCCTATTCATGGGTGAGGAACTGAGGCTCAGAAAGTTTAAGTCCCCTTCCCCAGGGCCCCCAGCTGGGATTCAAACCCGGGCTGCAGACTCCCAAGACCCTGCTCTTAACCACTGCACCACACTGTCTTCCAGAAGGATGCTGGGAGAGGTGCCAGAGCGCAAGGGTCTGAGGAGACACCTGGGAGGCAGAGGCAGTGAGGTAGAGGGGAGGGCGGGGTGGAAAGGAGAGAGGAAAACAGGAGAGGGAGGCCTGCCTTTCTGATGCAAAGGGTCATGAGATGAAGCCTTTGGGGAGGCGGCTGGGCAAGGCAGGGAACTAGGGCATCTTCCTCAGATTCCACGGCAGGCTCACCATTACCTAGCTGCCTACCTCTCTGGAGGTCTCGGCTTACAAAATCCCATAGGCAGCTGCCAGCCCAGAGGTGGGTCCCCTTGAGAGCCTGTCTGGGGCCACCACTGTCCCCTTGCCTGAAGGATTTCAGAGACATGCCTGGATGGATGGGCAGAGACAGGGGGGCAGAGGGTGGGATCAGAGGTGATGGGCATGGGGTGAGGCCACATGGGGAGGAGGACTGAGTTCTGGTTCTGCTGATGTGGGGCCTCCACGGGCCGGCGCCATGCCCCCTGTGTGTCACCTCCCAGCCCCACCCGGGGGGGACCACCATCTCCAGCCTAGGCAGGGAGACTCTGGTTCAGGCCCATGAGCCAAACCTCGGTGACTCTAAGCAAGTCACTACACCTTTCTGAGTCTGCTTCTTCTCCTTTAAAATGGGGACAAGGGTTGGAGTCCACCTGAAGGCTGCTCCCCGTTGGAACCTGCACGGCTGCAGCGTGAGGTCAGTGATGGCAGAGAGCCTGTCTATCTTCCCTCCATCCTCAGGAAGTACCTGCTGATGGACACTGATGGACGGACCAGGAGACTCCGGGAGGCAGCTCTGCCATCCAGAAGGGGTCAAGGCCCCTCAGAAACGAGGTCATTGCCAAATCGCCTTTGGGAATCATCACATACAGCCTGCTCCTTTCCAGACAGGAAGACCGAGACGCCAGGAGGACAGGCCGACCAATTCAGTGGCAAGAGCCAGGCTGGAGGCCCAGGCTTCCTAGCTCCTGGTCTCCAAGAAAGGCTAGCTTCCAGTTCCCCCTGGCCTCCCTGACTCCTGTGCTTGGCTCTGGTGGATGGCCTATCCTGGAGGGCCGGGCTCCCCTGCTCCCTGCCGTGGTTGCTGGAGACCTGGGTGGAAGTCTCTCAGCAGAGACCTGGCTGTGATCCTCAGGCCCCGCCTGGACCCAGGAGGCTGCAGCCCTGCTTGGACACCAGAAGCAGAACGGGGGTTTTGTCCTCTATGAGAGCCTGTCTGTTGGCTGTTCACAGCCGGGACTCGGCTGGACTGGGCTCAGATGGCACAGTGAAGCCTTGTTTCCTTGAATACAAAATCTGCAGCTTTCCATTCTCGCCAGGGCCCCCAGCGGGTGGCACTTCCTTCCCTAGAAGTCCAGCTCCCTGGCTCCTTCCTGCCCCTCCCACCCCTACCCCTCTTCCAATGCCCAGCAAGCACTCGTGGTGCCAAGAGGTGACTTGCAGGGGTTCAGCTCCCCCCAGACTGCATCAAAGTAAACCTCACACCAAAAACAGTCACTGTAAAAAGTGAGCTTTCCCTGCAAACGCAGCTTCAAGAACATTTCCTTAGTCATGTGCCCCTTCTAATCAAGCTGCAGCCTCCCAAGTCCCTGCTCATGTGGGGTCTCTGGGTTCTCCCAAACGGCTCCATTTTTTTTTTTTTTTGGTGGGAGGTAGGGTCCTGCGGAAGCCCAAGAGAAGGGAGATTCTGGGAAAAGGAAGATATGGCTGACAGTGGGCCCAGAAGGCAGAAAATCAGCCATGAACATGGACAGGGGTGTTTGGGAGAACCTTTTCCCCTGTGGAAGCATCTGTCCATGATGGGAAGCTCAGAAGGGGAGGACATGGGTTTTAGAGTCATAGACCTGGGTTTGGGTCCTGACTCCAGCATTTTCTAGCTATGTGGTCTTGACAAGTTACTCAACCTCTCTCTGCCCAGACTGCCCAACTGCACCATGGTAGTGATGACAGGTTCTATGCCATGGGGATACTGGGAGGGCTCGAGGAGCTCCTTAGTGTCTCGGCACTATTGATACAGGGGTCACGGCTGAGTTTGAATCATCTCCCCTGCACTCCCGAGGCGAGCAGGCTCTGCAAGGAAGTTCCAGACAATGAAGCTATAGTCAGCCCCGGGCTCGAGGAGCTTTCGATCTATCTGGGCTAGGATTCTGGAAATCCTGCTCTCCTGCTAGCTCTAGCCTTTGGCTAGGAAGAAACTTTAGAGGAACTCCCAAGCAAAGCCCTGGAGTCAGAGGCAGGCTCCTCAGAGCAGGGCTAAGCACTGTCTCCCCTCCGACTGGCCCTTGCAAAAAGTATGGGGCTCCCAGCCATCAGGTCTGGGAAACTAAAACCTCTTCCTCTGTGTTGGGGCCAAATGCAGAAGTGGCAGCTTCAGCGAGCTTTGACAAGTGGGAAACAGCCTTTCTCAAGCTATGGGGTTGCAAAATGCCCTCTTTTCTTGGTCTTCCTGCTTGTCACCTGGGCACACAGCTCTGGCCAGTCCCCACCTCCTGCCCCAGCCAGGGTGGGGCCAGCAACCTTCCCTGGGCCTTGGGCTGCTTGGGCTGCCTGTCTCTGTGGGTGAGACCGCCTGACTCCCCGACCTGAGACTCCCCTACCTAGAACCTGAGGCTGGTTCTGCCCTCTTCTGACCCATCCCAGACCATATGCCTGGACCAATCCCCCTCCAGGGGCCAGGGGCTTGCAGGGTGGGGAGTGTGGCTGACCATCTCGGTTCCAGCTGGTGGACCCAGGGATGGACGAAAGGGGAGCTGGAGTCATTCCTTTCTAGTCCCCTCTGGAGAGTTTAAGGTGTTTTGTTGGGGGTGTGGTGGGCTACTGAGCCACAAGCCTGGGGTTGCCTGTCCAATCTGCTGAGGGTACAGGGTGTAGAACTACATGGAGTGAAGGGTAGGGGTGAGGGCAAAGGCCCAAGTCAGATAGGAAGGTTTGGGGTATAACCCTGTTTAGGGAGGGGAGGGGACATGCAGTGGAGTGGGGGGAGCAGGGGAGAAATGGGGCCTGCTGACAGAAATCAGGGGGGCAGTGAGTGCAAAGTTGCTGGATGGGGGAGTGCAAAGTTGGAGGGGCAGCGAGGAGGGGACTCAACCCTGAAGGGACAGTTGATGGGGGTGTTGCACATGCCTGCCGAGTGGGGGGGAAAGGTCGGAGGGGCCCCTCCCTAGGGAAACAACCTGACGCCAAGGATCGGAGTCCTAGTTAACAGAGTAGATGGGGTAGGGGTGGAAGGGGCTGAACGGTCTCTAACCAGTTTCCTAGCAGACGCTGAGTAACTGGAGGGGTAGGGGGACAGGGATCTGAGACAAGACAGGAAATGAAGGGGACCCCACTGAGAGGAATGTCTGGCATGGGGTGCAGAGAACCTTTGTCGGGGCTCCGGGGGTGGGTGTTTTGACCAGCGGGTTGGGGTGGGGGTGGGGGAATCCGAGCAGCTGGGCAGGGGGTAAGAGAGGCCACGGAGTCCCCAACCTCATGGTGTGCGGTGTCGGGTGGAGGGGGAAGCGTCGCTACCAAGGCAGGGGTCCCAGGCCAGGGAACCAGTCTCCAGACCCCTGTGCGTGATGGTTGTGGGGGCTCGCGGAGACTCGCGATTATCTAGAAGGAGCCGCGGGGTCTCCCACTCCGTGTGCGCGCCTGTGGTGCACCGGGGCAGCATCACCATGGAGGAGGGATCGCGTGCCAGGGGCCGGAGGGACCCCAGACCCCCATATGCGTGGTGGGGCGGAGGTTCCGAAGCCTCGTGGTTACCTGGAAGCGGCCGCGGGGTCCCCACCACTGCTGTGTCGGGGCTTGGGGACGCGCGGCTGGCCGCAGGGGCCCCGGGCGGCGCGGGATCGGGTTCGGGGGGCCTGGGCCAAGGCGGGCGCGCGGGGTGGGGGCGGGGGTGGGGGTCGGGGTGGGCGGGCACTCACTGCTTGAACATCTTCTCCATGTCCTTGATCTGCTTCCTGGAGAACTCCTTGAACTCGGTGTAGGGGTTGAAGACGCGGCGGCTGGGCGACTGGGGCTCGCCGATGCCCTGGTTGAGGTCGGCGCGCCGCAGCAGCTTGGCGCTCAGCTCGTCGTCCGCGCTGCCCAGCGCCTCGGCCGCCTCGTCGGGCGCCCCCGCCGCCGCGGCCGCCGCCGCCCCGTTCAGTCCGGGCTGCTCCGGGGCCTCGCCGCCGCCCTCGCCCTCCATCTGCAGCCGCCGGCTCAGCTTGCTGGCCAGCTCGTCCGTGGCCATGGCGGCCCGCGCGGCGCCCGCCCCGGCCAGCCCCTGCTCGCCGCGCGCCGCACCGCCTCTGGCCGCGCTCTTCTTCTTCCTGACACTCCCCGGCCCAGGCGCCGCCCCGGAGGTGGGACTTGCGCCCCTGGCGGGGCCGCCCGCTCCCCGCCCGCTCCCCGCCCCCGGCCCTGCGCCCCGGCTCGGGCGCGTCTCCATCGCTGCGGCTCGAGGGTGCTGGGGGCGCCGCGCCCGCCACCATCGCCCCCGTAGGCTTGGGTCCCCGTAAGAATCAGCCTCCCTCCGTCCTTACTGTGGCAGCGGAGCGGGAGAGGTCGTGCTTGGGGCCGGGCACCGGGGCGGGAAGGAAGAGGGGATCCTCCCGTGCAGTTTGGTGGCGGGTCAGCGGCCCACGGGGAAGCCGCCCCCAACCCCTTCTCTGGAATCCCCACGCGGTGAAGAGGTAATCCGGTGTCTGTGGCACCCTGTCGGTAGCCATGGAGACGACTCATTGTCAATGAGGGTGACAGGGGTATGCAGGTGGACCCGGTGAGCAGGAACCCCATTGAGATTTAACCACAGCTGGAACTGCTGCATCTTTGGAAAGGGCTGGACCAGCAGCTGCGAGGGAGCTAGGTCCGGGGCTCAACCCTGAAAGGTGCTCAGAGACCAGGGGAGGGCAAGAGGGGAAGGGGCTGGTCAGCACCCCCCGGGGCCAGCGCATCATATGGATGACTTGGCAGAATAGCTGCCGGCGCGGCTGTCTGGCTGCCCCCTGTAACTCCGCTTCAGGGCAACTGGCAGGCAGATCTTGTTGCTGCCAATTCCGTGGGGCCCCCAGAGGAGAGACGTCCTCTCCAAAGGCTCATGGGATGGGGGCTTTGGGAAGAGGCCAGAGAGGATTTCTCTCTGTGGTCTGGTCTGTTACCTTAAAAGTGCAAAGCTGTAGACCTCCAGCTCAGAACTCCTCGGGGGCTGGCTGATAATACAGATTCTCAGGCTCCAATCCAGGTAGACAAAATTGATCTCTGGACTGGGGCTCAGAAATCTTCATTTTATCAAACACCCAGGGAAATTCTGCCCAGTGAAGTCTGAGAATCACTCATCTACAAGGAAGACTGTGCTTGTGCCTGTTCTCTAACATGTTAGGACCACGCTGAAGATGGTAGGTAGAAACTGCTCCCACCAGTACAGGGCACAGAGAAAAGATGGATGAAGGGGTTTAAAAACCATCACTCTGGAGGCAGAGCGCCCGAAGAATGTAAAGCCAGCAAGCTGTTACAGATGGATTCGCAAAGAACAGACCCTTCGTTGGCATTTGTTGGTATGCCATAGTTGAAGAATATTGCTGAGTTAATTTAAAAGGCATTTAAAAGAATGAAACTGAGAAATAAGCACTTCAGAAAGTATGAAAATGTTCATTAACTTATTTTGACATTGTGTCTGGAGTCCAGGAAAGGTGTTCAGCAAAACGACATGATTTTGTTTTTTAAAGTGCCTACTTAAGTTTCTATCAGTCCTTGGCAGTCTGGTCCAGCTACTTGCAAAGGGCAGGTTTCTATATTTCCTATAGATGGTATTGAAGGGCCCAACAGAAGTTTTATTATATGTCTCTCTCTCTCTCTCTCTATATATATATATCTATATATCTATATATATCTATATATCTTGTATAGTTATATATCTTATATAGTTATACATATACTATATAAGATGTAACTATACTGTATATGTATATAACTACATATATACTATATAAGATATATGTATAACTGTGTATACTACAAATACATATATATTTAAGTGAATGTAAAAGACTAGTGACTAGTATACATTGAAACCTTAAAAATTCTGTCTGTACAAGTAATGACTCTACAGTGTCTTGCTACGCTGATAGACAGTGACTGCAGTGGGGGGGAGAGGACTTGATAACATGGGTGAATGTGGAAGCCATGATGTTCATGTGAAACCTTCATAAGATTGTATAGCAGTGATACTTTAATAAAAAAATTCTGTCTGTAAACACTTGGGTTTGCCACATTCTTAGTCTTCCTCATGAAGCAGCTAATTACTTAAAAAAATTTTGTGAACCTCAACTTGCCAACCTAGGATTTATAATCATTTTTATGATTTATGATTCTGCATGAACCATAGGTTCATGGGCTGTGTTGGCAATGAAGGTTGCAGGGCTGCCTTTATTATGAAACGTTTTGCATCTGCTTGGCACGGGAGCAAACTTGTCCCCCCTGTCATTAGAAGGGAACAGAGCTTATTCTAAATGAACAAAGTAGCACTTCTGTTGAAATACCCGTCTCAAGTAATACTAGTAACTAATACTTACATAAAGCTTCCTAGGTACCAGGACTACATAAAATACCTTAGTCTGAGGTGTACATACAGTGATTGATATTTTTATGCATTATGTAATGACCCCCACGATAAGTCTAGTTACCATCTGTCATCACACAAAGTTACTACAATATTATTGACTGTATTCCCTAGGCTGTATATTATATCACTAAGGCTTACTTATTTTATAACTGCAAGTCTGTACCTCTTAATGCCCTTCACCTATTTCTCCCACCCTGAGCAAATTTTTAATAACCAGATTATGTAAGAGTTTGCCCTCTTCAAAGACAGCTTACATATATGTGAAAAACCTGGGGTTTTGGTTTGAGTGATTTCCCCTGACTGTATGGATTAAACTCCCCAGTCATTTGGCTTGTGCAGGCACAGCCCGTGGGAGGCAGGGCAGGCTCTGGGATGTACAGCTCGGGGAGTTCTTGTACATTATTGCATCTTGTAAAGGGGCAGCAAATGCCCTGGCCTTGCTGCTGTTGTGCACAGGCAGAGCCCAGGAAACGCTACCCGGATGGGTGAGCCCTTTTAACACCTCTTGGGGTGACTTTCTCACAGGCTCTGGGGCTTTGGAGCCCTGTGACGCTGTGACTACAGGAGGAGAACTTACACTGTCCGGTACTCTGCGTCGTTTTGGAGGCCTTGTCTCCGGCCCCGCTGGAGACAGAACTGTTGGTCAGCTAATGCCAGAGATGCATGCTGGGGGCCACAGTTTTCTGAACTTTTCCCTTCTGAAGTCATTGGACTTCAGGAAAGGCACCTATTGAGAAATCCAAGAGGTAGTGAAGGACAGAGAAGCAGGGGTAGCTGCTGAGCACTGACTCATTGTGAAATTTCCAGGAACCATGGGAAATATGCCTGTTCCTTCAGGAAAAACACTTTTGAATGACCTTGAGTGTTGTGCCCCAAGCATGGATTTGGGCAGAAGGAAACGATCTGGACTGGTTGCACATTACAGCATTTGGTCATGTGGAAAAAATGATCTTCAGGAAAAATCACACCCTCAACGAAGGATTTTTACAGAGGCAGGGGTGAGCAAGAGCCAATTCTGACAACACTTCAGCAGCAAGGGAGCTAGGCAGCCTGAGTCATCATTGACTTATTTTCTTTTCTTCCTCCCACATCTCCTTTTGGGGAGGGGCAAAGTAATATCAAGAAAAACAACAGCACTTTGAAAAAGAGAGGAGAGAAGAAAGGAGGGAGTGGGAATTGCTCTTAGGTGATGGGGGCAGAGGGAGGGAACACCGAGGGGCATTCCAGAGCCTGACAGATCTGGGTGGTCCCTCTGGTCTGAGACACTGCAGAAAAAAGAAGGGATTAGGGAGGCCGTCAGAGATCAAGTCGGCTCATAAAGCGCAGCACTCACTTAGCACTTTATAAATACCAGCTTACTAATTAATCATTACAAACAGGCTGTAGTCACCAGGAATCCCTTGATGGATTGAGAGATGCACAGAGGTCAAGGTTCAGGGACAGCCCACATACTCAGCTGGAGTGATTGGAGGAGCAGGCAATGGGGTGAGCCCAGCCTAGTTGATGGAAGAGCTTTCTCACCTGCCAAGTCTGGAAGCTGTTGAAAGGGTGCAGTGGGGGAGGAGCTGTGTCAGGCAGGCGCTTCCCGAGCGCAGGGCAGGGGGGCCAGGGCCAGGCAAAGGGGACCCAGATGCAGGTAGACCTGTCTGCAGGTCATTAGCAACTGGTTATTTTTCTGTAGAGCTCTCTTTTTGTGGTTATCTTGGATGCGATGAATCTACTTGAAAACCAAGATCATCTTTCAAATTAGTTGCATATGCAACTGGGCAGGCTGGGAAACAAAGAAAGGCCAAGTGTTTTCGGCTTCTGTTAAATCCGAGGCAAAGGAGTGCCCAAGTTTGAACGCTCAGTGGGCCCGCGTCTTAGCCCTGTTTTAAATTCTCAAAGTGGGTGTGTGTGTGTGTGAACCTTGTGGCTTAAAACTCAGCAGTACTCCATTTGCAGTGCCTCCCTGGAGCCCTTCCAAAGATGGTAATAATATGGGCAGCTGATTTCAATTTTGATGCTACTGTGACAGCATTGTGTGCGTTCATCCAGGCAATCAAGACGTATTTAGTAAGTGTGTTGGGCACTGGGCTCTGGTCCTGGAATTGTTCTGGTCACGGGCAAGAGTTGGGGGCTGGGGGAGGAGCAGTTTGAAGAGTGAAATTTGTTGGACTCCACACTGGGGGACAGAGAGAGGTGACAACTGTTCAGCTGGGCTGTAGCACTAATTGTAAGTGCTGGGACTCAGAGCTCGTACAACCCATGATGAAGCTGTTAATAAAATACCTGCCACCCTCTGCCCCCCAACTCAGCTTCCTGGGGGAAGGGACCTGTCTGTCTGGTTCAGCTCTGGCTCCCAGTGGCCCAGCAGGGTGCCTGGCCTAAGGCACACGCTGGAGAAATCGTTGTTGAGTGAGTGTGTGATGGCCCGCTCTGCCTGATGCCTTGGGGTGGGCTGGGTGTTTTCTCAGTGTTCCCTCCAGAGCATCCGGTGACCCATTTTTAGGTCTCAAGGTCACTGCCAAGAAAGAGAAGCTGCTAAAGTGACACCTCTATGTACCCACATAACTCAACACCGAAGTTAACAGAAGCTCTTAAAAAACAAGCCTCTCAAGTGTCTGTCCCCTACTCCCCTGAAGACAGTGTCAGCGCCATCAGATAAGGATTGGGGCTGGGTGACCTGCTAGTCCTTGGGTATCAGTGTGGCCCAGAGGTCACT